ACAGACTGCACGTCACTGTCGACCCCGGTCCAACCTTTCTTTGCCGAGTGTCGCGTCAGTATCGAGTTGCAATCGTAAAAGAACGGTCCCGAAGCGCTTACCAACAGCGCGAATACAAGACTTCTATCAAGCGCGCGCGTCCGCTCCGAGTGTAAGCAGGTATTTACGTGGCTCTTGCTGACACTCGTAGTTCAAACGTATCTTTTTTAACGTCGGCTCGCTCCTGCATCTCCGAGGCCGCGAAAAACGCCATCTACGTCGCTTTGCAAACGACTGACACGGGCCGGCCCTTCTGCCAACAATGACGGGGTGGTGACTAGACTCGCTGCACTTCCCAACAGGCATACCGGCGTATGGGACTAGTCCCATGCTGTCGCTGTAGCGCAACATATCTCATTGAATTTCGCTCAGCTGCGATGCGGCGATGAGAGGCGCCGATTCAGGAAATACGTCGGTGACATCAGCGCAGTAAAACCTACCGGCGCACCCCAACTCGTTGCCGCTAACACTCCCATTCTCCTACTGCCGAGAGAACTTCCGGTTCCGGAAACGGTCTACGTCACGGCTTCTTTTGCGGTCAGTTGGAGAGAATGAAAAAGTCGATATTTCAATAATTTTTTGTGTAAAAGTTAATAAACCGAGACGAAAACGGATGCCTGTTCGGCATTCAGTGAACATTGACGGTTTAATGTAAAAGTTATCTGGAAAAAGTAAAAAGGTCATTTCATGGTCCCTTTAATACAGGCCAAAATTGGGAGGGCAGGGGTCCAGCGGATGATAGAGATAAACCAGAAGGATCAGAATGCGGCAAAAAGGTTCTGGGAACACATCAGTGCACAGGGAAAAAAGACTGATGGGTACCAGCAGACACTAACCACACAGGAAGGGTCAAAGGTTTTTTTTTCTTCTTTTTTCTTTTTTTTTTTGGGGGGGGGGGGGGGGGGAGGAGGCAGAGGCAAGAGAATACATTAGACATACAATCGAAGCCGCATTTTCAGAGTTAGAATCAGACCAGACCATAGGGAGTGGTAGCGTCTACTCAACACAAGAGGAGGAGTGAAGAAAAGGAAATGACCACTGGGGAATGGGAAAAAGCAGAAGGAAAGGTTCCGGCTGGGACTGCGACAGGTCCAGACGGCGTCCCAATGAAATTGATAAAAGTTCTGGACAAAACAAGCAAATTGAAACTAAGGCAGGTGATTGGCCAGGTACGTATGGGAGGGGAGGTACCCAGTGACTGGAAATTGAGCAGGATGAGATTATTATATAAGGGCAAGGGAGATAAAGACAGTATCAAATCATACGGACCTATCACAGCAACTTCAGTAATATACAGACTAAATTGTAAAAAGAAGAATGGAAGAATGGGCAGAGAGAAAGCAGATTCTGGGGGAGCTTCAAAACGGTTTCAGGAAAGATAGACGACTATATGGTAATTTATTCGTAACGACTCAGTGCATAGAGATAGCAATGACAAGTCAAAGACCATTATGGGTAGCATTTTTAGACATCAAAGGGGCAGATGACAATCTGAATCAGGAAAAGCTCTGGAACCAACTGAAGGGATATGGACTAGAGGGAACCATGGTTAAGTTTCTAGAACGAGTTTATGTGGATAATAGGGTTGTTATAACATGGGAAGCCGAAACCACAAGACCAGCAGCAATAAAAAGAGGCCTTAGACAGGGTCGCCCAATGTCTCCCTTGCTCTTTATGATATACCTCAGTGAGATGGAAAAGAAGGTTAGAACAGTGCAACCTTACATAAAGGAAGGACATAAAGTAAATCAAGTATTACCAGGGTTAATGTATGCAGACGACATTGTACTCGTATCAGAAAGTCGTGAGACAATGCTGGAACTGATTAGGATTTGCAGCAGGAAAGGGGACAATTTAGGACTAAAATTTAGTAGGGACAGGTCGGGTATAATAGTCTTCAACGACGAGAAGGGGGAATCCCTGCAGATACAGGACACATTGATAGAACACGCAGAAAAGTACAAATATCTGGGAGTATGTTTAAGTGAAGGAAGACTGTATCCCAAAGACCATGAAGAAATTGTAATAAAGAAGGGGAAACGAAATTCAGCTATCATGAAACACAGGGCACTATGGAACTATAATAAATATGAATTCGTTAGGGGTGTATGGAAGGGTGTCATGGTGCCAGGACTGTCATTTGGGAATGCGGTATTGTGTATGAGGTCAGAAATTCAGGCAGGTTTAGAGATACAGCAAAGGAGTGTGGGTAGGTTGGCATTGGGGGCACATGGGAATACACCAAATGAGGGAGTACAGGGGGATATGGGTTGGGCATCTTTCGAGAGTAGAGAAGCGATCAGTAAAGTAAAATTTGAACAAAGACTAGCTGAAATTGAGGATACGCGGTGGGCAGCGAAAGGGGTGTACAGGTATCCATATATGAAAAGTCTAAACACGAAGTGGACAAACAGAACCCGCAAGCTGAGACCTAAATACATTCAACCAGATGGGGCCGATCAGAGTATATCAGTAGAAAAGGGAGTGAAGGAAACAGAGAGGAAATTGTGGGAAGAGGGAATGCAGGGGAAATCAGCTTCAACAATATACAGGGCACAAAAACAAGAACTAAAGAAGGAACAGTTGTATGATAATTCATTAGGGAGCTCATTACTGTTTGAAGCTATAGAACGGGGGGTCAGGAAATCAACACTTTATGCAACATATGCAACCACGAAAACGAAACGATAAAACACGTAATTTTGAGGTGCACGGGGCTTCGTCCCACCCTCTGGGAAGGTGGGGATGACTACGAATTTGGAGGGGGCACTGGGATTTGTAGACATGGATGGACGAATGGATAGGGAAAGAATTGCGGTAACTAAGAGGAGATTGGAAGATTGGTAGAAAAGATCTAGGGAGGGGTAAAAATATAGATAAAAATAAGGAATGGAAACACTTTAAAAGGAGGGTGAAGGTTGCGTTAGAACAAAATTTATAAAAATAAAAAAAAAAGAGAAAAGAAAAGAGAGGATGATGAAATGTTAGGCTACGCAGCGCAAGCTGCCGCCCGTTACAAAGGGTATATCCATTACCATCCATCCATCCATCCATCCAGCGCACACTAAACACGGGCCCGTACTTGGCCGCGACTCGCGTTCAATGCACGAAGCAGCTATTGAATAAAACATACCTCGCTTACAAGCGCAAGTGGTTTTGCAAGTAACGAAACCAACAGCCATGAAGAAGCGTATGTCCGCGGGTACAAAATGGGTACTTTCAGTTCATTCTGATGCAGTGCGCTGCAAATTTCCTTCCTAAAATCCCGCGCCCTTACTCAGTTGTCGCTTCAAATGATCTCAGTACTTGTAGCAAGCACGTAGTGCGCCTCCTGTATATACTAGTTTTAACCTCAAGAACGGCAGTAAGAAAGTCTCTTCACATCGTGAATCATTACTAATTTCTCCCTTCATGTAGAGAATTGAGATATATGTTGGTGCATTTTATATTATATGTGTTACATTAACAACGCGTACACGCTTCAAACGCAAAAAAAAAAAAAAAAAAAAACACTGCTTCTTCATCCGAGAACCAAATCTTTTAAGAACTACTTGTTGCAGCATATAATGTGCAAAACGTAATTTATTATTATTATTCCTTTTGAAAGCGAGTATGGTGGTGTTGCACGAGCGCTATTTTTGCGGTCGATTCTTTTTAAAAGCAAATTTAACGAGAGAGAAAAAAAAAAAAAAAAAAGAAGCTATTTTGAGTATTTGAATTTGAGTAGAGAATTTGAGCTCCCTGTGGAATAGTTGCACTCATGTGATATATAGAGCTACACGTGATAAATTTTGCTCTCACTTTGCCCAACGTGAAAATATCACCATACGCAAAATATGACCTTGCAAATCCTCGAATATAAATTCGTCCTCAGTACTCTGTTTTTCTTTCGTTCGGTTGAAGAAGGAGAAATTTTGGACAGCGATGTCACCGCACTACTGTATGGCTTTCGTATGCGCGTAGACTAGATACAAATTTTCTGGTGAAAAAATTTCGTTTCCTTCACGCAGCTTTGCGCGTGCTTCTTATGCCTTACATTTAGCGTAAGGATGTACGAAGCGCAGTCGACTTACGTGAGGATCATCCCCGGAGCAACGAAGTCGGTGAACGTTGCGTCCAAGCTGCCGTAGACAGGCACGAGCTGCCAGTTTTCGCAGAAAAAAATAACAACTTGCATTAGTACGCGTACTATCGCGTGTATACAATACGAGCTGAAACAGTCATTCACTCTTTTTTTTTTTTTTTTTTGGCGTACCTGCTATATTTTAATAGAGCTGTAGTCCAAACTATAGAATAGAATGCAAATTTAATGGTCCCACAGTTAGTATCCTTTAACATATTGAGAAATGATAGGGCTTGTGGAGACCGCAGACGCAGAAAAGGCCCGGATCGGGGGCTTCAGCTCATATTGCCCGCGGGTACGTAAGCATACAGATCGTATCAAATTTCTCAAAAGTCGGTTTTTTTTTTAAATTTAAATTAGTTCCTGGCACTTTTCTGCGAGCGCAGGGACAGAAACTAGAACCCAAAGTACGCCACTGTTTTAGGCGGCTGGTGGACATAGTGGAACTTGAGGACGATGTGCGATGAGTGAATGCGCATTCTGTCTGCGATGCACTGTGGATTGTGTCCTAAGAGCATTGATATTACTTGTAATAGCATAGTTTGGCAAGACCACACGCACGCGAAAGGCCGGTCAAGCACACAAACCCGTATCCCTTCCCTAATTTTGCACTAAACTTTCGAATGAAGCGCAGGATGTTCACGCTCGCCATTACGTTTTGAGAACATGACACATAACATACGTCAGTGGTTTCCAAGTTTCAGGCGCCGCGCCCTATCAAATCGCCGTCAGTTGTTTGTTGCTTCGCGGATAACTCTAGGAAGCGCCGAAAACACTTTAAAGGAATCAAATCTCGCTAAATAATTTTAAACGAACAATAGTAAACCACTGCAGTGCTTTAAACACTGGTAACGGGATAAAAATGTTTGCTGATTATTTTTATTTGGTACTTGAGAACTTGTCCTGTCCAGTGGAAGGCTTTCGTGGTCAGTATAAAACTTGTTCGTTTACGTACCTCAACGACACTGTTCAGCCCTCCAGTGGACATGTTCCGTGCCTGGAAGTAGTTATTGAGCAGGGCCTCGGAGGCCTTGCGCAAGTAGAAATTGATGGTCATCAGGATTTGCTGATCTACGTGGAAAGAAACGCGGTCGTCAAAGGACCTCGGCATCAAAGACGCACAAGATACAGACTTGCATCGGAGATCGTGATTAAACGAGCAGTTAGATCGCTTGCAATCAGTTTTTTTCTTATATATAGACATGCATTTTATAATTTTTTGTTGGGTTAACCAGGCTGGCCTATATTCAAAGGTTGTAGCAAATAGTAAAAATGTACAACAGACGACAGGCGTGTTTATTCATGCCAAAATGTACCGACAAATGAATATATGTACTTCTTAAAAAAAACAAAAAAACCTATACGTACTTAGTGTTAATTTAAAGCTGCTTTCCTTTCCCTCAACACATATCTTTAATTATCAGTAGGAGGATCACCGATGCACCCTCTTAAGGGGCCATTAAAACACCTTCTGCGATAGTAATTTATGGTCATAATTTAATACAGAGCTCTGCACGGGGCCGGGTGGCATGGATTGTTTCAGGGTCCGGGCCGGGCCGGGCAATGGCGTAGTACACTTTCTAAAACGCCAAGAAGAAAATGCTACGCATTGATTGTTGAGATCTGAAGGAAACGAAGAAGCCGGAGTGCAAACGGAAATACTGAACATTTTCGATCCATCGTGACTTCAGTTCATACCGCAGAGTGCGTAAAATCTGTGACTTGTATGTGATGTGTCTCGAAACTTGGCAAGCATGGCAAAGACTTTTGGCTGAGATCGTCGAGAGCTGTCGAGCAAAGTTTGCCGTTCCTCCCACCCACCTCGGGATCCCGTTCTTATCGTGGTTCCCGGGGGCGAGCGCGTCCGATATGTCGTCCATTAAGTCGCCGACGCCGACCAGGGAGCAATGTTTTTACTTCAACGTACTGGCGGAAACGCCGGTAGGTACCATCATGGATAGCATCTAGACAGTCGCCGGAGCAGACAGCGCCAGTACTTGTAGCACCACGGAGGTACTGGAAGTACCGGAGTCTGGCTGTACTGAAGGCTCGCACAACCGCCGCCCAACGTTTGGTAGCGCGAGGTTCCCTTGTGCTCGAAGAAGTCGAGGTCCACTTGAAGCCAGTGGGGTCACACATTCTGTACGTCTCCATTTACCGCATTCCCCTGTACGTTCCGGAGGAGTGCTTGGTGCATGTCCCGAGCCACCATGGCAAAGTGAAACGCACGCACGCGCGACGTTTCGAGATTGGCCGGATGGCCCGGACCTCAAGACCGGGGCATGCATGGTAAAAATTGAGATGTCCAAGCCTTCTCGGAACTTCATCAGCGTCCAGGGACATCGGCTCATGGTAGATTACCAGTTCACTCTAGTTTCAGCTAAAATAACTGGATCCTGTGAAAGTAGCACCAAGCTCTCCGAATGGTCTCCGTTTTGGTTCATGGAGTGAGCAATTTCTCTTTGACCTCTTCATTCTTGGTAAGCTGATGTAAAGTCTCTGGTGATAGGTAACCTTATAGAGACGTTTCTTGTATACTTTGATTTTGCTATCGACACACCGGCGAAACAACCATACATCACCGCACCGGCACCATGCGACGTCGGTGCTTGGAGACACTGAAAAATACTTTTTCTGTCTTGAAGTAGCCAAAAAGAGTAATACCACTGTAAAGGATTTGTGGAGATAATCACGATTGATAAGTTGATTGCGTGCATAGTGCCCTAGACGCTCATATTGGCGAGGAACGCTTTCAGTATACCATGATGCTCCACGGCAATCTTGGCGCAACTGGTTCAGAACGACCCTTCCGAAGCTTCGAAGATCTGAATGGAGCAAAATTGCGATAGCCATGGCAACTGAGAAAGATCAGCCAATCACATTGCGAGGTTCGGTTGTCTTTTAGTTGACGTTTGTTTGTGTCCGCTAGCAAGCCGGGAAGGCACTGGTACTACTTTCCCAGGATCCAGGGACTTTAGTTTCAGCTATGGCCGGTGCCATTCTTGTGCTTTCGTACATATAGCGCGTGTTTCGCTTGTTTTACAAAACCACGAACATACACGTGCTGGTCCCTGGGCTGGAGAAGTCGCGAGCCAGCGTTCAATCATGATTTATTTTAGAGCTACCCCAAACTAAACACATTTTCGGAATACCCAGGCTTTGATCTTCCCGGCGTGCTATTTATTAGTCGTAAATTCAAAGTAGTTATAAAGAAAACCAACTGTAAAATTTCCCGCTTTGTTCATTGGGGTGACATGTTGTATAACTTGCGAGTCCAGCAGGTAGTTTAAAAAGTATTTGTGTAGTTTTTTTTTTTTTTTTTGCGTTTTGCTGGCGTGAGGTTTTTCAACGTTCATTTCACACCATCAAAATTCATGGAACCCGTTAGGGACAAGCTCTACTGCCCCCATATTAAGACATCTCACGTCGCGCTTTTAGTGTTGCCAGTAGAGACCAAAATTAAATTTTCAGTAACTTTGCAAAAAAAAAAAAAAAAAGTGAAAGACGCTTACAACTCTTTGTAGTGATGAATTAGAGCGCAGCTTTCAAGAAGGAGGAGGGGAGGGTAAGGAGGAGACGGTATGCTCTTCCTCCTCATCCGTACCCTATCCTCCTCCTGTCCTCCTTGCTTTTCCTTGACATAACGTGACGTCACGTGACCCTGGTGACGTCCCTTGACCCTAGTGATGTCACATGAGCCCGCGCTGTGCTTTATGGGAAACGTCCCATAATGCACCGCGCGAGGGTCCCTAGACCAGGGTCACGTGACCATCGCGCGGTGCATTAAGGGGCATTTCCCATAATGCACCGCGCGGTTACGCCGACGGCGACGCCACTCAAGCCGGAAACGGGCGCCTAAGAGCTGCATTCTAAAAAATAAGTTGGAATTTTAATCTAGTTAAGATGTGCCTGTTAATGTGTTGGAACAAATTTTGAGACAAACCAGTGACTACCTAAATCTCACCGGAGCCCCCCCCCCCCCCCCCTTCCCCGCCCTATTTTACTAGCGAATACTACAGGCACGGGATCGCGGCTTCGGAACGTGCTTTCTCAGAACGGGAACTTCGCGACTCCAACTATAGGTGGCGCCACTCATTTTCCAAAATGGCCGTTATAGTGAGGGTCAGAGATGCGTGCCGCTGTTGAGTCTGTCTAGTGTGCTGGCCTCACTGAGCGACACAAATTATTTCTGGTAATACGAGGAAGCTAGGGTGTTATGAGCGGAGGTCACCCCTTACCCTGAAAACAAGAACGGTGTTTAGCGTAATATTTACGCAAGGATACGCGTTTTAATTCTGGAGCGAACCGAAACTAACTTCTATCTTGGATTTAATTTCTCGATATGGGTTTTAAGTTCGGATTTTTTCACACCTCAAGACGTGTCTCACATCGTAATCATTTAGTTAGAGAAGTTGTTCGCGGAAACTTTATATTTTCATATACATGTTCGATCCAGGCTGATATTTGTAGTTGTGGTTGTTGAAAAAATCAGTGCCGATATTTGTGCGTTCTCGCTGCCTTTTCTCGCTCAGATAATCGTCATGGAAAATAATGAACTGTTGGCTTTTTAATGGGTTTTGGGGTATTTAGATGATTAACTGGTGTAGCATTATTCCCAGCACAAGAATAAGAGAATAATTCCAATTTTTGCAATATGTCCAGAAAACGTATAAATTAATAAACACTTTTCTCACCGGAACAACCCAAAGACGGAATTCGAGTCAGACAGCTAAAGTGTGCGTGTGTGTGTGTGTGTTTTTTATAGAAACGCGTGACAGCATATGACTTCATATCACATCCAGTGTTTGACTATCTTGATAACGATTTCAGTTTTTTATATGCTAAAAAGTAAACAAAATAATACCTTTCTGGAAAGATTATTATGGCTTAATGGCGTATTTTCGTGATCTTGGCGTTAATTGGGGCCATACATTGCCACGATTTGTATTAATAATAATATTAATATTAAAATTCACATTTGAATAAGTAATTTTTCATGCTCTAATATAATTTGTTGCTTATGATTTAATTTCAAACGTGCGAACAAAAACGATATTCAAAAGTGTGCTAATTATCACCACTGGTGTCAATTGCAGCAGTTTTAATTACCGAGTAATAAAATAAAAATAGTCTAAAATCAATGAAAATATTCTAGCTAATGCGAGAAATCCATATAAAATTACATTAAAGGGACACTGACAGGGTATTTATGCTCGCCGAGGTTTTTAGTTGTACGTGACATATGAGAGCTGAACTACCCAGAACAGAATTTGCGGCTCGAAATTCGGTTTCTTTCCGCCCGAAAACCGCCGATCAAGAACTGGCCGGTTCGAGTCTCGCTCACTCTCTTTTCCGCGGTCACGGGCCGTTTTCTAAGGTATCGATGCGACCACCAAATTTGATCAAAGTCGTGGGTCACTGAAGGCACACACTCAATGTTAAAAATAGAAAAAAATATGAAACCCATTTTTTGTGGCTTCTAAAAAGCTGCAAATACGTTGATTGAAAAAAAAAAAGTTCCACAGACAACCGGAAGCATTCTGTGCGTTCGTCGTTTCGCGTATCGTGGGACTCGCGGGGACGGCGATGGCAGCGGACGACGGGCGTGGGACCTTTATTTCAGAACTGTTGTTCGCGGTACCGGCGAATTCTGTCTACCTTTAAAAGAGAAATTTGGGACTGATCAAAAGAATTGGTATTCATCCCGTACGACACGCCCGACCACCAAGCCGGTTTGCACGAAGATGTCGCCGAGCCGTCGCTGCCTTCTCGTGGCTGAAGACATCGCTCGCGCAAACGTCAAGCACGACGTGTCTACTTCGAGTTGAATATGCACGCGTACGATTTCTTTACTAGGTGTGAATGTCGCCAATGCGTGGTGCTTCCCGACTTCGGCCCGGGAGTGCTTTTGCTAGAGGAAAATCGGCAGCAAACTTTCGAACTTACAGTTTACCGATCATTACTAAGGAGAGAGATCCACCACTAAAGAGGTGCCCCGGTAGCTCAGTGGTAAAGACGTCCGCTTCATACTTGGTAGAACCGGGATCGATCCCCCGTGAAACGTTTTTTTTTTTTTTTTTTTTTTTTCAAACATTTTCCGATGTTTACATATCTTTTTTTTTTATAATTATCACTGAAGAAACAGAAAAAAAAAATAACAAACAAATGTTGTGGACGACACTTCGCTGAGTTAAATGGTATGAGATTTCCTTTTTGACACTTGCGAACTCAATGTAATCACTTTCCACAAAATGCAAGGAGCATATAAATCGGGTAGCGTCCGCTTTCCGAGGTGCCCGTAAATGTTGAATTGCAGCCAGCCATTGGTCCCGACCCCGTTGATCTTTCGGAAACTCGGTCGCACAATGCCCCCTTTTTTTGTTTTCGGACGCAGCACATGTGAGCCAGCTCTTCACGCAACATCTTGGGTGTATTGTTTTCGGAGCCGATCATGGAAATTCACCACGGGCACTCACTACTCATCTCCAACTCCTCAATGTACAAAACAACTCATCTTGAACAACGAGCGGAACAATCATAACTGCAAAAGCGAACAGTTCCCGTATGCCGCATGTCGTGTCGTCTGCTACGGAGAGGAGAAAAAAAAAAAAAAAAAAAGAACGCACGGTCGGGTGTAGTCACGTGACTTCCGCCACTCACTCTCTTCTCTCCACTTCTCCGACCTCCGTCGGGTTTCGGTTTCGGTTTCGAGGAGTTGCGTCTTTTGGCTTTATTAAAAAAATACGCTACTCTGTTGCAAAATATTAATTGGGTAGTCCTCCGACACCATAATAGGGAGTTTTCGTAGACCGAGTTTCCCCCTCCGCTAAGCACTCCGCAACGAAGAAGCCGTGACTGCGCCTTCACACCGATGGCCTTGACCGTAGAGTTCCGGGTATCGTAGCGGGTTGCGGAGAGCCGTTGCGGGACGGCAGAAACCATCTACGAAAACACCCTAATAAAGCGCCTGGCAAAAAATGGAAAAAAAAATTTGGGGGTGTCAGTGTCCCTTTAATTGTGGATAAAGTATATTTTACTGTCAAAGTAGCGACTTCTGACAATCGGCAAAACATCCAAAGTCGCCGCCAATATCCTCCCAGACCAAATGCCCCCTCCCCATTTAAAAAAAATAAAAGAATTAATTATTTTTTTTTTAATAACATTTAGTTACTTTCATTTTTACGCTCCGTCGTTTTGCCAATCTCAGCCTTTCCAGTTCGAAGGAACGCCCACCTGCTTGCACGTCTGCTCACTGCAGCACGTTTCGTTGGCGTTGGAAGCCGGTGAAACAGTAGTGAGTTTTAGTATTGCGTATAAGAGCGAAAGCAAGCGCTGTTTGCTTGCGTTAACTTTGCTTGTACCACACTGCGCGTGCGCGGAGCCCAAAATTGCAGTCTTGGATGGCGCATAGCGATGAGGCGCACGCACAACGTGGAGCTCGGAACTCTAAAGCAAACGCACACCTCTTGCGTTTGGTTCTATGCGCAATACTAAAATTCTCCAGTAAGGTACAATCCCATACCGGCTGCAGCACTACGTTGGGACAGTGAAGAGTGTTGTTTGCATTCGAAAATGACATTTCACGAGCCATGATCGCGAGCAGTTCCACCGTGCCCGCTGATCAGGAGCATCGGGGGACCCTCACTAGAGCGCTTCCCGTTTCTGCCGCGGGAGGGCGAGCGTCGAGCTGGAGACGCGAATAGCTGGTGACAGGTCCAGAACGAAGTGGAAGCTCCTCCCATCCCTTTCCACTTCAACAAAGCCAAGGGTGGAGAGGAGGTCGGCTCCTCTCCAGCGTTCGCTCCACTAAAGTGGAAAGAGGTGGGAGGGGCTTCCACTTCGTTCTTGACCTTCAAACGGTTCGCTAAGTTCCAGTTATTTTTAATGTCGGACTGCCTAACAGTGGGTCTGTCTGATGCTATGGGTATATACGCACTGGACATGTCCAGATGCAGGCTGATGGTGCTCATACGGGCCTGGTCCTCGCTGATGTGGTAGCCTCCCGCGAGGCCGAAGCGTGTTTCGAACGTCGTTGAGAAGTTCCCGCCGATGTGGATGGCACCGTAGGCCCGGCCGCTGCTCACAGACTCCAGGGCTTGGCCCAGGTCCGTGTGTTCCACCTGTGCGGGACAGCAGCACACCACTACGGTGCCTGGAGCCCCGAAAGACGTCTTCGACTGGCGCGTGTAGCGTCCCATCTCGCCCATACATCAAAAGTGGTCTCGAGGTGGCTACAAATGTCGTCACAGAAGACGGCCTGTCGCGCTGTCGAATAGCGCGATCCTGGCGGCTGGAGTACGAGAGAACGTGAATGCCGCTGCCGTCGCACAGTGGTAAACCTTGGGGTCTGCTGAAGCTTCAGTGGACTCTCAAGCTGGAAAGCGGCCTGCAGCAGTACAGGCGTCTGCCACGTCTATACCACAACTGCTCTAATACCGCCAGGATCGCGACCGGCGACAGCGTGACACTTCTCTGACGTCATTAGGCGGACATTGAGGGACCATTTTTTCGGACGCGGTAAACACTCCAGTCGAAAACATTCCGTCTCACTAAAACCGTGTGCTACAACCAAAGCTACAGGGGAGAGAGCGTATCCCAACCTGTTCAAGATGAGGGAAAGGCAGGGAATCCCAGCCTTTATCTCATGTTCCTCCTTTTCCTCATTTTGAAAGGGTTTGGACACGCTCCCTCTCCTGTGGCTTTGGCTGTACTGCACTGTTTGAGCCAGGCCCGTGCTTTACGTCATCCTTAATGGACCCCACGTCGCCCCAAGAGGAAAACATGCCGAAGTCAGACGAGACGAGAGTCGCATCAAAGCGACAAACGCGTTCGTCTCGGCGCGGCCGCGGGCTATCGTCTCGCTCGTGGTGAGATGCTGCGAGACGCGCTGGCGTCGATGCTAACGCCAGGTAGGCGGTGCAGCTCAGGGGAAGCTCCTTCCACCTCCTTCCACTTTAGCAAAGCGAGCGCTGGAGAGGAGGTCGCCTCCTCTCCGGCGTTCGCTCTGCTACAGTCGGTGACAAGTCAAGAACAAAGTGGAAGCTCCTTCCACCCCTTTCCACTTTAGCAAAGCGAACGGTGGAGAGGAGGCGACCTCCTCTCCAGCGCTCGCTTTGCTAAAGTGGAAAGAGGTGGAAGGAGCTTCCACTTTGTTCTTGACTTGTCACCAACTGTAGAGTGGAAATTAGTGGGAGGAATCTCCCCCGAATCCTTAACCTGTCACGTTTGAGGGATGGGGAAAGGGCGCAGACCTTGTGTCCAATGGTTGGTATCGGACAACGCCGTTCAAAAGAACAGGAAACGGTGTATGGCAAATTGCTAGGCGATTGCGTTGCTTACGTGAAACGTTGTATTGCATCACAAACGTTTATATCATCGTTTAGCAGCAAATCTAATAGAACATAAAAAAAGTTAAAATAAACAAAAGGAAAATGTAGCTTGCGCTTTCGGTGTCCTATCATAAAGATAAGTATACTTTTATTATAGATCTTGTGCTCTTGTTCTTTTTTTTCCAACATTTATTTCCATTAATAAAATTCTTTCAGCTTAGCGTCCGCGACCAACGTGAAAAAGCGTAACGACGCGCAACCGAAACGCGACCGAGAAATAGTGGACTTTGGACGCAACAGGCGCTGGCCAAACTTCAGAGCTACAGGCCTGTAGGTCGTCGTTCTATACGCGCGCATAGGCGCTATCGTTTTTCGGTGGTGTTTGCTGATGAGCAGTTTTTGCACTTACGATCCAAAAGGCCGGGTCATCACGATTGGTTCTTACCTAGGAACTCAGCGGGTTCGCGCAATGAGCGTGTGCGTCAGCACAGCGGTAGGACTCGAATGTATTTTTCAAGTCAGTATACTTTGTTTCACCGTAAATGCCGACCCACAGAATCGTCTTCTGCCGGGAAGAAAACCGGTTCCCAGTTTCCTTTTCGCCATTCCCTCTCTGCTCTCCCCCATGTGCCCACAAGAGCTGGTCGCTGAGCTCCCCGCAAATAGAAGGAGGGTCTCCCCCTTCCCCGGGGGGAAAGGAGGAATCGAGGAAGACTTTCCTTCTTTCTGGCCGCTCGTCGGTCTTTAAATCCAGACGCAGCTTACGCTACGAGCTGATGGCATCAATTAGACAGCGTCGAAAGCGTAGCATTCGGCGTTTTTATCTGCGTGATAGATTGAAGGACCTCGCAGAGGGCTGTCCACAGGGAACGCCAAGGGCGCCTCATTCGTGGTTTTCGATTCCGGGACTCTTGGCTAATGAAGAGTCTCAATGACTTTGGTTACACGCGGTCACGCCGCGACTCTTACAGCCGTTTAGACAGGGCATATTTCACCCCAGAATTGTTATGCCCTCTATGTTGTTGCAAGATACTGTCTTTTCCGCCGGTCCCACAATACATTTCGAACCCTCGCGCATTTTTCGTGACATTGGCAGTTCCCGAGTTCCTGTCTGGACGGAGCGCCTTATGGGACGTCACTACGGTGACAGAGCTGCGCTACAACTGTATACCTGCGCGGCAGCATAGCTGCAACGTTAGCTTCACAGCCCCTTGACGTCTCCCAATAAGACGAACTGAAAGTTCAAAGGCAATCCGTGGTATCATTCGCTAGAAGGTGGAGCAGACGAAAATTGTGAACAACGTCGTCAGACGATTGCGCGTTATAAAGCGTGGTGGGGCAGGGACCTTACTCGTGTAAAATTACCTCAAAGAACTCCCGGTTACGAAACCTCAGCAAGGCGTCGTAATCGGATTATGACCGCGCCCGAGCGAACCGCAAATGAGCAAGATGGCGGCTCCCGGAGACCCAACTTGCAAACGTGTAGAGAAAAAGGGCCGCTGTTCAACACCGTCGTTTCAGGCCAATGCTTCCAATGCTGCGAACGCCACGAGAAAAGATGGCCGACCGCACCTGGAAAATAAACTTCGGACCCTAGGTGAACTGTAGTTCCTCTGGCGTTAGCACTCTCGTTCTTTTCTTTTTTTGTTGTTGTTGTTGTGAGTGGCAACAAGGTCTGCATGCGCCTTACGACTGTGTTTAGCTAAGTAGGATGTAAAGTAAGTAGGTGTGGCCCAGCTCCGCTGAATTAGTAAATAAAAGTTTCTTAACCAGCCAATCATTTTAAGTACTTTTGTCGTCTGTATGTTAGTATTAATGCTCGGCTAGCTGGCAGGAAAGGCAATTGTGGCGCTACTTTTCCAGGATCCAGTGACTTTAGTTCTCACAGCCTCGTTTTCTTACGTTACGTTACGTTTCGTTACGTTACGAAAGCTTACGTACAAGTCACCGGGATATCTACGCTTCATATTAACCGTGGCTACCAGTTCAAGGAGATATCTTGGCACGCGGAATTCAAGGCACGGATGTTTTGGTGATTTATACGTAACGTAAGAATACGTGCTGCGTGAACCAGCCTTCAATGCTATAACACTTCGTTTTGCGTTAAGTCGGACCGCAGTCAACGCTACTATACGATGGAGACAATTGGGCAGGAGATCGAACTACATCGGGGCGGTTTATCAAGCTTGTTGCAGTGTTGTATGGGCGTTTACCAAAAAAAGAAAGTTTCGAAGTACGTTACTTGTTACTTGCAAATAAAAGGAAGGCGTTACCGACCTACGTTACCTCAAAATAAAAGGAACGCTTTTTGTTACCTACAAGAAGTAACTCAAGTTACTTTTGCGTTACTTTTTCATTAGGAGTTAACACGTTTTATTTTTTTTTTACGTTAGAGGTATGTATAAGCGCCATGTTTCAAGGAACATTTTGTCTATATATAAAGACTGAAGATAATTGCCTTATATTGTTTTACGGTTTCATCCAAATACTCACTAGAAACAAATACAGAGACGCAAACTCAAAATTTAACATAGCTTGGCGCCTAAAAACAGGAAAAAGAAATTAAGTGTAATTGTAAGCGTGATTTTATATCTAAAAGTCTCGGGAAGAGTATGTAACGAATAATGTAACTACGCCACCCGTTACCCGAAATAAGTAAAGTACACGTGCGTTACTCGTAACTGTTTCGAAAATGTAACGATTACGTTACCGCATTACCGAAAAAAGTAACGCGTTATTGATGACGCCGTTACTTGTAACGCGTTACCGGCTTCTTGTCCCCACAACCCGGTGTTTACTAACACAGCGTAACAAAGAAATTGAACACAGCACGGCCTGGGCTCGAGCGCTTTGCTCTGACCATGCAGCGCTTTGGTCGCACGAAGAGCGGTCTGCGAATCGTTATCTTCGACTTCGCTGATCAAAAACAAACAAGAAAATCTGATTTGTTGTCCCCACAGCTGAAGCGTACCGCTAGGGGCGTGACTGTTCGACCTCCTGCCCAATAGGGTGCATTCACTGGCGGTCATACCCGAATGCATTGCTGCGCAGCGCGTTCCGACGGCGAGCTTCCACTGTGCATGTGCACGTGCATTCCACACCAGCACGATTGCCCGTCTTGAGAATCTATATAAGCGTGAGCGTGTTCTGAGCATGTCCAGTGAACAGCGCATTCCAATATGGCGTCCAGTGACTACCCCCGTTAGGCACTAGCGCGACCAAGAGGTCGGAATTCGCGATTGGCCGAAAAACCATAGCTCCACATGTATACTGATGATGCCTGCCCCATCGCCGTTTCACAGCGAAGCAAATCCTGCAGTCACAGCGAGGCGAATGCTGGCCGTGACGTCACGAACGGAATTGAACCACGAGAGAGCGCCATCGAAACACCTCGGCGCTATAATAGTGACTTTAAAGGGGCCCTCCGGGGCTTTCTAGGTCGTCTTTTTATGTTGTTATATTGCGCAGCAGGTGCAAGTTAATATGTATACAAAGTTTTAGATTACAAAACCGTTTATTAAGCTGATGGCAGTAGAAATATATCGGGACTATTTTCTCTTGGAAGACAATCCCCCATTCCCCGCCCATCGCTAAAACTTGACCAATGGAACTGCTGCAACTCGCGGTGAATGCGAACGTTATTATTGCAACACTTTTTAAGCTTGTTATAATTTAGAGTGAGAAAAACGTGAACTGACTGTGGTGAGGGAACACATAGTCCGCAATAGACCCTTTCCGAAATTCAGTGCCATCTGGAGGCTGAAATGGCGGTTTAACTTTTGCCATACGAATGGCGGCAATGAACCCGTAGCCTGCAGTATTTTATCGGGCACCGTCACTTTTGCATGTCAACGGCAGACGAGAATAAACTTTTTGCTATACAGGTTTTTCTGGATCATCTCTTCCAGTGTCGATTTACACAACGATGCAACCAGTCAGAACCAAGCGCCAAGTCAAGGGGTTTCGAAGTCGATTTTGTGCCACTAACAGGTTCACTGGGAAATGAACACTTACGCAGCGCTTGCATTCGATTCCGGTTTCGCAACGTGCTAACGTCTAGAATGTATAGGCTTCGAATCCTCAGCTTAGAAGTATCTTCAACATGTTCCTTCATCAGTAATTAGAAAGCCGCCATTCGTATGGCACATATACCATTTTTCAGATGGTGATGATAGTGATCAAAGTGGCCAGACTGAATTTCGGAAAGGGTCTATTATCGCTCCAAAACCAGCGAACTATGTTTTCTCCCCGCAAGCTTGTTGCTACGGGGTGATGCGTCGGCGCGTCGGCTCGTCTGCTTCCCGGGGCGCGTGCAGGCGTGCCTTTGCGGGACACGTGTTCCTTCTTCTCGTGGATCCCGAGTCCGAAGCCAGCTTTGCAATCCTTCCACGTCAACGAGTCAAACGTTTCCTTTGTCATCTGTGGAATGCGACTGCGTATTGCATTTGCAGTAGCAGCGCGACGGTGCGGTGCGACGATCGACGACTGCCGAGCACAAAGTCCGGAGAGATTCCTCCGCGGGTCGGCGGTCGGCCGCGTTGGTGACGCGCGTTGACGCCGGAATCCTTCGCTTGCTATTGGCTGACGTGTAAAGAGATGCCCCTCCCGTTTTCCGGGGTCATCTCAAAAAGGGGGGCGTGCCGGGGACTTTGATAGCAATTTTAAGAGGGAAATCTGCCGCGCATGACCGTAATTTTATGATTTTTAGGATCCTTAGGGCCTGTAGATTGAGTTACCGCCATAAATAGACCATCGCAGAACGCTCCGAAGGGCCCCTTTAACGACCGTACAGCTTCAGCTTCGCTTTGCTACACTCTGTTTCACCTTGTGTTTACCGCAGGAAAGGCTACAAGCGCGAGCTCCATGCTCTAGGGCACATCTCGCCGGCGCAAGCTCTCGTGCACTAAGGGCAGCTGCCAACGCTATGAGCTCGAGCTTCTAGCCTTCGCTGCGGTACAACTTAGGGTGACGCTTTCAGCGCGCGCCAAATTCAGCCGCCATAGCCGACCTTCTCTTGTCTTACCGAGATGTCGAGCGACTGAAGCGGGCGTTGACGAGTCTCCACAAAGGCCTATGCTGGGGAGAAGGACACAGTAGAATCTGAAATGGCAATTACCTGTCCTGCTGTGGTAATGATGAAGTGGATCGAACGGAATAAGAGGAAACAAAAACTGAAGGTCGGTTATGGCGGCGCCCATGCACAGCTGCCTGAAAGCGTCTATAGAGGGAGATCGTGCCGTCACTTCGAACTTCGAAGCATGGACTGAGCACGAGCCCGCGGGCACACTTTCCTAAACGGGTACGATCTAAAACTATATATTCAAACAACGCCAAAGGTTCGTCGTGATTTCGCTAATCGTCTTTATGCGCGTTCGCTATCAGTGGCTAAACCAACCACGCGCAGTAAATGTAACGTGATTCTGCGTGTTTTTTTTTGTGCGCACGATTTGTTTAGCCGGTGATTGCAAGCGCACGAAAACGACGAGAATCGTGAGAATGTACATACTTTTGGCGCTGCTTGATTAGCTCTATATCGGTCGGACTTAGTGCGAAACGCAGTACATATATATTGTAGAGGAGATCGAACAGTCACGCCTCTAGCGGTGCGCTTCAGCTGTGGGGACAATAAACCGCATTATCTTGTTTGTTTTTGATCCGAGAAATAGAAGATGATGATTCGAAGGCCGCTCCTTGTGCGACTGAAGCACTGGTCAGAGCGAAGCGCTTGTGGTCAGACCGTGCTAGGCGAGGTCCGATTTCTTTGTTATGCTGTGTTAATTAACACCGGGCTGTAGGGACCAACGTTGCTGGAGCAAGCTCAGTTTCACAGCTCCGCCTGCGACGTGGGCTCAGTGGCGGTCACGAGAACTAGCAGCGCTGCAGTCGAGTCTTACTTCCGGATTGTCTAGCCCGCGAAGCTTCAATAGCAATACTTGAGTTTGGGCGAGTAGGCGATTCATACTAACACTTCTCAGCGCAAGGAAACAGACGCACACACAAAAAAAAAACATTTCAAACACTAAAAGAACGAACACTCACAATGCGCTGATTCTGATCTCTGTGGTGTATTACACTTCATCTTTATCATCTTCTTTTGCTATTATACACATGAAAATAAAAAAAATAAAAAATGGAAAAAAAAAAAAGAAAGAAAAGGAAGCTTTCAACGCGGTGGTAGTAGACCATGCGCGAGACCGAGATGCAAGGTCCGACTGCAGCGCCGCTAGTTCTCGTGACCGCCACCTGGGCCACTCGCCTCTGCAGGCGAGAATACAGAATAGGGAGCTGCGAAACTGATGGCGAATTCCACTGGGCGTTTTGGAGCGCGCCAGGATGAGTTGACCAGATCCGGACTGGAGAACACGATCCGAACGGGGTCGCGCCGCCTACGAATCCCCAGTGGAACAGGACCACTGCTCCGGGATCGGCGGATGCCTTCCCGTCGTTCAACTGCCCGGGAATCCCCTTTCCGCGGCCGCCGCTGTGGTTTCGAAGACGTGTTCGCAATCGCGGCGCTAACACGTGTTCGACGCACGAGTGGCAGGAATGGCTCAGGCGCTTCTAGCAAAGATTGCCGGAATGCCCGTGGCGCCGGCAAATACCTTCTCTTCTCCTTCCTGGAAAACGAACCGGCTGCCGAGCCAAGGGGTAAGCAAGCGGCCATTACGAATTCTTCTGATGTCGAGACAATTTAGGCGCCCAGCCCGCGACGTGCTTATTCTGAGGCGAGATGGGCGAGATCAGGCGAGATGCCCCACGAGAAAGGAAGTCACGTGTGTGCGCCGAGGGCTGGCCCGACTGGCTTCCGGTTGAATCCGCCGAAATCGTGGGAGCGACTTTTCTCGGATCCAGATCGAGATCTGGAGCGGGAGCTAATCCAAAACGACCAGTGAAACACGTCGGCCTCGATCCCTATCGCCCAGTGAAAAGGCTCGCTCCAGAAAAGTCGATCCCGGCGCGCTCCAAAACGACCAATGGAATTCGCCATGAGTTTGCTCCAGTAACGTTGGTGGGGACAACAAGCTCGATAAAGCGCCCCCTATGGTTCGATCTCCTGCCCAATAGAAGCCGATATTTCGCCCCACGCCATTAGCGGCGAGATGTTTCGGTGTCGCCCTCCTATGGTTCCCCCTTGTGACGTCATTACCTTGCGAACAACAAGTTCGATGGTGTTTGTAAATAGCATGGTGCAAGCCTGAAATCATTGCGCTCTCGAAGTAACACTGCCAACACCGTCGAAATTAAAGTTCTTTCATGCCTGTTATTTCCGTCGATGGTATACCCTTTCCGACGTCATAGTCAGCTTTTGGGCCAATCGTGGAAGGCCGACCACAGCGACGCTTTCGGTCGCGCACGTCGCCAATAGAGACATTAGCGTAATTGTATGGTCCTAAAATATATACCTGGGGCATGACGGTGCCGTCCAGGAGCTTTAGAAAACTGGCGCCTATTCCCGCAGTGCCGTTGTCCTCATTGACGGTGGCCAAAGTCAACCCGAAAGGTGTCCGGCCGACGACGGCAACGAAGATCATTACCTCGATGGAGGGCAGGAGAAAGCTGTAGAGCAGCAGACTGTAGCTTCGCCGGAAATTGATCATATTTTTGTAGAGGATGGCGGACGTGCGAGCCCACGAGCGCTTCAAGTCCTTCCCGCGCGTAATTAAGTGTTCCTGCGTCGTCAACGCAGTTACGGACTGCATGAAAGAATACTCGGAATCGCTCACGTGATGAAAATGCGAGGAAGCCCGCCCCAGCAGCGTGCGAAAAACGTTAGCCTGGGGGTGTATAGAAGAGTCCTGGGCTTCTCCCTGCGCGAGCTGCAGGAAGACCTCTTCGAGGTTGCTGGCGTTGTGACCACGCATCAGGTCTTCCGGCGGCGCTTCAGCTAGCAGTTTTCCCTGGCGCAAGAAACCCACTTGTCCCGCCAGGCGCGCCTCGTCTATGTAGTGCGTGGTGATGATGATGGTCATCTTGTCCTTGGCGGCAAGCGTGACCAGGTGCTCCCAGATGGACTTGCGCAAGACGGGGTCAATGCCGACGGTAGGTTCGTCCAAAATGAGCAAGGGCGGGCTGTGTACGAGGGCGGCCGCCAGGGACACTCTCCTTTTCTGACCCCAGCTAAGGTAGTGCACCAGCCGAGTCCTCTCGGGGAGCTCGAGGAACTCGAGAAGGAAGTCAATCCGCTCTTCGATCTGTGTTTTGGGCAAGTTGTAGAGCCGGGAGAAGAAGACGAGCGTCTCTTGGATGGAGAAGGAATCGTAAAGCGCCAGTTCCTGGGGCATGTAACCTACGTTGGAGCCCGGTATCTTTGAACCCGGAGTGCCAGGAAGGAGGCCAAACACTCGGATATGACCTTTCTGGAACGGCTTGCGGCCCAATATAACACGTAGCAGCGTCGTCTTACCGCAGCCGGATGAACCAAGCAGTGCGTAGATGACGCCCCGAGGCACTTTCACGTTGATGCCCTTGAAGATCTCTACTTTGTCCTCACCGGCGCCGTACCACAGTTCGAGGCCTCGCACGTCCACTGCTAGCTTGCACCTTGTAGACGGATCGCTCGTGGGGGACTTGACCCCTGCGACGGCATCGCCGAGGAACCCTGGGGCACCCGGGTACTCCACTGCCTCTTTTGGTTCTTGTGGAGGGTCCAAGTCTTCTTGCCAGGATTTAGAAACAATGGCGATTTCAGGAGAGAGGGCTGTTTCAACGTCCATTCGTGTTGTTACTTTGAAGAGCTGACTGATGCTGGGTTCCGAATGCACGTTGACTGCGTGTCCCGCGCTGTGGACAATTCGGTCCAGGTGGTTGTTTAGTCGAGTAACTGGATAGTGTCCACCGAGGCAAAAATTCTGCTTTAGTGAACCTCGCGCTTTAGCGAGTCTCCTCCCTCTCGTCTTTCTTTGTGACTAACAAAGTGTAGGTATTGTTGTTTGTTGGCGGTGGGGCGGCCACGTGGGTACGACACATGAGCTCAGAAACTTAAAAAAATATTAGAATGCTTAATCAAAAGTCATCAATCTGAAGAAAAAATATATGCCGTTGTTTCAGAGTCTAGCAACTCGAATAAGATTAACAAATTAACTTTTTAGATTTTTTTTCAGACAACAATCATCGAACGTTTGGAATATTTTCTATCTAAATATGGCTGCTGAAAATAGTGACGTCAGACTGCCAACTTTCCGGTGTTGGTTAAAAAATGTGATGGTGGTTACCTCTCATCTTTCACTGTGCGCTTGTCACATACCATTGAAACTGTGGTTCGAACTAATATTAAGTAGCCAAGGTCACAAGACTCACAACTCGTGACGTCACAGTTAGTCAAATCCTGGGGGGCTATGTTGCACGTTTTGTACTCCCAGGAGACTAGGGAGAAGGAAGTGACGTAGGTGTGAATGAACGTATCTTAGCAGCACCAAGCAACGCGTCATCAGCGACTCCACCAATCAACATTCAAAGCGCGTTGTTGACGTCACTTCCTTCTCCCTAGTCTCCTGGGAGTCCAAAACCATAGCCTCCTCTATACACCAACTCAACTCTCCTACGTCACGCCGCGGTGGTGGCGCGCCGGACGCACTTCCGGTCTGGGGCGGTGGGCAGAAGTCGCCGTGCCAGACATGCATTCCTGTGTTCCTTTGGAAGAAACCAGACAAAAAACCTGCCTTCTCGTCAAAATGCTGCGATGGGGGCTTTACAAAGAAAGTCTGGGAAGGTTTGAAGATCAGTTTTCATGTGGTTTTGCACCCTCCGTTCGTCCGAGAACGTCGATAGCAGCCGTGAAAAGGGCAAACCTGACGCTGTCGAACTACGATTGCGTGTGCGGGCCACAATTTGTAGTCGCCAGATGTATTTGCTTTGTTCCAACATGACCGAGAGAAAACCCCCAAGTTGTCCGGACCACCCACGGATTCAGTGCGTCTTCAAATTCACACGGCCGCCTGATCGTTCGAACTTTCGTCTGCTCTTTCAAAGTTGTCTGCTTTTTGTCGTCTGCTCGTTCAAACAAAAGCGGCCCGTAGACCAAACTTTGACCCGGTGATTGCAATAAGAAGTAATTGCAGGCCTCAAAAGACTTAAGTAGGCTCGGTGTAAGCAGTAGATACAAGATGTTGATCATTGGTACCGGTGGCCATCACCTACTTGTTACGCTTTGTCTGTTCCCGCTTCCGATTTTCAGTATCGACGTCGATCATCGCCTCTACCTTCTACACTTTTGCAGCACGAGGTTCGTCGCGACCGAAAATAGCTAGAAGAGTCTCATCATGGTTGTGTACGTCCATTCTGCGGCGGTCATGCAAATACATCGCCGCACGTCAAATTATTTATGCAAAGTTTAGCAGCGTAACGAGCCTTGATGATTTCGCTCAGGCGATTAAAGTGGTAAGACATTGCGATGAGGACGTAGAATCGACAACTCCAACGCGAAAAAGAGTATGCAGACTCACACAGACGCCGACAACGTGACATTCGAATGGTTTGTTGACGCGGGACGCGGTGCTTCTTGCCCGTACTCCATTACGCGTGCGTTCCGACTGTCGTCTGCTCTTTCAAACTTGGCTGCTTTTTGTCGTCAGTTCGTTCAAACGACAGCGGCTCGTAAACCAAACATTGACCCGGTAATTGCGATAAGAACTAAGTGCAGGCCTCAAAACACTTTTGAAGGTTGGTTGGGGTAAGTCGGCTAAGTCAAAGTGTAAACAGATACAAGAAGTTGTTGATCATTGTTACCAGTGGACATCACCGACTTGTAATGCCCGATTCTACTTGAGGTTTTCAGTATCGATGTCCACCATCTAAGCTACGGTCCACGCTTTTGCAGTCCGAGCGACGTCGCGACTGAAAATAGCGAGCAGAATCTCGACGTGGGAGTCAGGCTTTAGCGCCCATGCTGCGGCGCCTACGTGAAATGAATCGCCGCAAGTCACATTATTCACGCAAAGTTTTGCCTCGATAGTTTTGCTGAAGCCGCTCAAGTAGTCAGACATTGTTAGGAGGACGTAGAATCAACAATTCCAACGCGAAAAAGAGCACGGGGACTCCCACCGACGCCGACAACAACGCAATTCAATGGTTTGTTTATGGGCGACGGCGGGCTTCTTGCCCACCATCGACGGCGCATGCGCGGCGCCGGTGACGTCCGCTAGGGGCGCTCCGGTTTGTTTGTAAACATGAGTTGGTGTATACGGAGAAAGCCTGGCGCGTCGCGTGAAAAGACGGCCGCCGTAAATGGGAAAGGAGGGGCGGAGAAACGGGAGCGGAGAGAACCTTGCCCGCTAGCGCCAGAAAAGAGCGAGCGGCCAAACGCAGAAACAATCTTTTTTTTTTCTCTCTCTTTTCTTGTCGCTGTCGTGGAGAGGAGAAACTCAACGTCCATCCTTTCCCGTTTCTCCCTGCGCCCTTTCGAATCGCCGCGCCCGTTTCTCCCGGACTACGAATCGACGGTGACGAAAACACAAAAACAAGCGTGGTTCGGGGAGCGGCCGCTCACGACCCAAGCGCTTGCTGTCTAGGTCTGCCCTTTCAGCTCTGCGCTACCATACTGGTCACCGTTCGGCGCGCTCCTCCTCTCCTTTTTCCTGCGGGCGCGCGCTCTATGGCTCCGTCGTCGATGTGCCAGGCTTTCTCCGTATAGAGGAGGCTATGCCAAAACGTGCACATAGCCGCCCTGGTCGTGACATATAAGACGATATATATAATTTATAATATCTTCATTTGACCCTAGACATCCATAGAGTTATTATAATGTACGCTAGATGTTCAACCGGCGCTAGTGTGCGGTTTCAAACAGAGTCATAGAAGGGTTAGACTAACGGGCGTGGCCTGCTTGACAGCTCGTCAACTACGTCACGTGACCGCCATGGCCACGCTGTGGTGGCTGGAAGGGGGAAGTGTCAGCATCGCGTAGATTGTTCCTTGTGTGGCAGCGCGCAAGTATATCATGACGAAAATAAATGGCGCTCATCGACTCTTAGCACCATTCACGAGAGCACCATGTACTGCGTAGCAAAGAATGCGAAACTGATGAGACAAGGCCGGGAGGTGATCATCATGGGCGATCACAACGGACACGTACATACGTGAGCTTGATGGGTGGGAAGGTGGGAATGGCCGGCGATTACGTAGTCTATAGTGGAGGACCTGCAGCTATAAGTGGTGAATTTTTTTTAAACCAGCGAGGGGCAATATACCTTGGGCTCTAGGCTGGACACTCGTCAAAAACGTCGGCGAGATTTCTGACGGCCGCGACTGGCCAATCGTGTCGGTAAGAAATCTCGCCAACATTCTCGACAAATGTCCAATTAACTTAGGGCCCCTGGTGTGCAAAAGGCAGTAGAACGTGTATAAATTATTTTTTGGTGTCACAAAAGATCGGGCGCTTCCTGGTGAAATTGCATACTTGGCAGTGATCACAACCGTCTGAAGAGGGCAACTCGGAAGAGGATGATAGAGAGACTGCCCAGCTTCGTGCGGCCTTACCTTATTGAGAACGCGGCGGCAACGGTTGCAGACCTCTTCGAGGAGAGCGACGAAAGCAGGAATGCGACAGGCATAACCGAATATGTGACTGTGCTCAGTGGCTTTTTCCGGCGGCTCTCAAAGTCCCAACCCACCAACATGCAAAAGCGGAGGAAGCGCTGGTGGGACTCTGAGGTGAAAACAGCGACACAAGCCAGGCAAGCCGCCAACGCGACCGAAAGAAAGCGGGACTTGTATCACCCTCCACCGCATGGGCGCTGCCATCGCGGAGTCACGTGATGCGGCCGCCATTATGTTGCTTCAACTCGTCCCCGCCTCCGCTCTGCCCTCCGCGCTACTCCAGATCTTGGCGGATACGTTGAATTCGTGTTTCTCGTCGCGTTTCACCGCGTTTCTTACCTCACTCCGGAAAGTGTCGTCCAATACTCATATAGTTTATACCATGTAATTGCATTACATCCTTATGTTCACAGTTTCTGCAGTTAATTTTGTGACACGTTTTAACTATTTTTAGTGTCGGTGTGTCGGCTACGTGTGATGAGGCTATATATGAGCACATGAATCAGCGTTAACGCTGATTCATGTGCTGTGTGTGATTCATAATTTAGAAAAAAGTCTGTCGGGACGCTGTCTGCTTTTGTGTGCTATCAACAATCCGCTTTCCAAAGACGTTGCCATGCCGACAATTATCGCGTTCATTTAGCCTTAGGAATGCCCAGAATCGAAACACTACCTGAAAAATGCGGCGATATCATTGCCCATGCTTTGCGGTTTAAGTGAGGTAAGGCAAAGCGAAAGCCTCCTGCATTATTCGTTGCTGACTAACGCGCCCGATATTGCAGCTACAACGACATATTAGTTCCAAAGCGACCGGCGCTCACTCACTGGGGCACCGCCATGTTTCCCCGCATTCCTACCGAGCCAGTCACGTGATCTGAAAGTCCCTCTCCCAGGTACTGCGGCTAACTTTAGCCGCGGTTAGCGCTTCGGGCAAACGGGCCCAGTTGTTTCACCGCCGAACCTGGCCGAAATGATTGGACGTAATCAGACGCATCTGGTGTCCATGTAAGTGCTCGCAATTTAGGCTCGAAATTACCTCGTGGTTGTTTAAGTGACTCAGCACTATCGTACGTGTCATTCGTTGCGTGCCATAAGAAAGTATCACAATACTAAGCGAAAACGGCATGAAATAGCAACACAATGGCGTGTGCGTTGAAACCAAAAACAACCAAATTGAAACAATCTCATGGCGGCGAGTGCACCAGCGCCCTCTACCCGACGGTCTTCCGACGGGGACGCCGGCTTGAGGACAATTTGCTTTCCATTACACAGTGCATTGAGGTTGCTAGGAAAGGCAGACGGCTGCTGTACTGCTTCCTTGATGTTGCAAAGACCGACGACAGCGTCCTACACCCCTTGCTCACACAGTGTGCGGAGCAGCTAGGGCTATCAACACCGTGTGTCTCACTCATCCGATGTCTCTATGATGGCAA